AGACCATTTCATCGAATATTCATCTGTAGAACCTCCTCTTGTATAATTAACGTATGGTTTAATCCAATCCATATTCGTAAATGATAAACCAGTTCGAATATCCAATATTGAATTTGCATATAAACTAAATATACTCGAAAAGAAAAATAAAGGTGTCGTTGTTCGAGCATCGATGGGTTCATACAATAGACGAAGAGAAGAATACTCAGGAACTAAATAATTTAACAAACTATAAGCCAAACAGCTTTCACCACCGTGGTTTCCAACTAAATCTATTATTAATGTTTTTCCAATAGCTGTCGAAAATATCATTTTAACATCTTCAAATGTTTCTTCATTAAATGATCCTAGTCGAATAATTACAGTTTGTGTTGGTTTATGTATATAATAATAAGTATCATTACCGCCCATTACAAAATCAAAGTTGCTGTCTTTCTGATGTTGATACCAATGTAATTTTTCTAAATTGATTATGTAATTGAAAACAAGTCTTGTCTCTAAAAATGAAGATGATAGTAAATGATTATCATCTTCTAAACTACGCTGATTATCGAATTTTTTTGTAATTAGTATCAGATAAGAAAATGTTATTGTTGATTCATTCTTGTCTTGGATACTATCCAGAAATGTAAATGTAATATTATTTTTTATGGGTAGTGGATACTGTGCAAGATTTCGTAACCAGAATTCTTCTCTAAAGACAGAATTTAATCGAACACTTTTGTCTTTACTCATAAATGAATAGTTTTCAGCAAATTGTTTCATATATTCTAATGCATTCATACCGTCAATCTTTGTTATTATTCTATCTGTATAGTTCAGATTTAAATTATTTCCAATAATAGAAGAATACAAATTAATTCCTAATTTTACTTTTATTTGTTTTGTTAACGGTTGAAATTCTAAAATAAATGGTAATAATAATTCAAATTTTGCATATCCATTTGGCGCAAAGTATTTCGTATGAAAGTCTTTCAACTTTTTAAAACAATTCACAATATTCATATGAAATTCATAATCGTTTTTGTACATATTTCTATTTGTTTGATCAACAATATTCAATAGTTCTTCTCGAAGATTAACATTTGTAAAATAGGGATGATTACTTTGTCGGACTATACTTAGAAAACTATAAAAGTCTAATGAATTGAATAACTGTTTCATTGTTTCATTCATTATTACATTATTAACCGGTATATTTTCAAAACAAAGTTTCACTTGGTCCACTGTTGAATAGAACCATGTAGTTGGAAGTTCACTAATGGTCGAATTAAATGTGCATAAATCAGTCTCACCTTCAATTGAAACTGCATAGAAAAAGATTGTTATACAGAATAATTGCGTTTTCATTGTCCAATTATGCAATTGAAACGACTTCTCAAGTATATCTGATAAAATAATTCTTTTTTTAGGCTCTCATTGTCACAAGTGAGTCATGTGTTATTTCAAATGCTAAGATTACGTGAAAAGAATAAGAAAAAAAAGTGATATTTGCTTTTGATCTGTACGTGCACATAGAATTTATGTTTACGTTCCTTCAGGTCAACAGTCAAAATCAAATTAAGTATTTCTTTTTTATGACTACTCGCCTACTAAAAGGCATCAGCATCTGATGAACGGATGTGTCTTATCTGACTCATCTCCTGAATGACAGTCAAATAGCTGATTTGAAAATAGAAGCCGATTGTTCTGTGAATTTGTTAATATCGATCGATCAGGCGTTCATGACTATCTTAAAAATAAATAAAATCATATGAAGATTGTTCCTAGTAAATCTTTCTTTCTCATTAATGAGTCTTAGTCATCTTCTAAAGATCTCGCTACTGCTGGTTTTCAACTTGGTTGGATGAATTCACTGGTTCACAGAACAGAGCAGCGTGTATCTAGCAGGAAGAGACAACAATTTGGAAACAAGCACAACTAGTCGAGAAAGAACCACTAGTCGAGAAACTTGTGCTTCCACAGACAAGAAGTTTGCTCCATGTCTTTACAGACAAGCGCCTTGCCCATATTCTTCTCTTATAAGAATCTTGTCCGTAATCACTATCTTGTATCGGTAGACAAGGCTCTCGTAGCACTATCTTGTCTGTCGACACAAGAAGGTGTTTGCAGGCAAGATTCTTATCTTGCCACTTTTGATCAGAATCTTGATACGTTCTTCCCAGGCAGAAACGTTAGAAAACGAAGAGTTTTAAGAAAAATCTTTTAAATTCTTTTCAAAATGTCGCAACTTTATATTTGAGAAGCACATTGAAGCTGCCTGTGAAGTCCATCAACCTTGAAAATGCTTAACCACTGAGTTATGGACGATTTTAAATCTTTAATGTAGAGTTTGAAAATTCTGTTAAATTGAATCTTAGATTAGTCAGAAATAATCACCCTAGCGAAAGTTCTTGAAACCAAGAAAGCAAGACCTTGATACATTTCTTGGTCAAGAAATGATTCTTGGGCTTCCTTATGCATTTCTTGCGGCAAGAAAGCTCTTTCTTGGGTAAGAATCAACATGTACATTTTCTTGGGTGTTTCTTGCTGTTAGAAACCATGCTGTTTATATAAAATCTGTTTTGATGATGATACACAAGAAAGTGATTTCCTGCAACGAGAATATGTTTCTTACACGTTCAATAAAATCAACGATCATTTATTGAACATCACACCGTACAACGTTGCACCAGCGGATAAAATGTGCGAAATTTCATTATCGTCATTCTTAGTTGCGAGATCAAGTTTGCCAAATGTTTTCTTCACGCTGAAAAATACTAATTCCGAAAATTAGCACTTCGCTAACTATGAGTTTTTCTTAAACTGCATGAATTCTGTTCGATGTGGAAACTAATTCTGAACATTTTTTGTTCCAGCTATAGCACTCTCGGATGCTTCCTTGATGAGATAAATCCTAATTATTCATTTTTCGAAAGTTCGAGGTTTTTGCTCATGCTGAGACTAGTGAAAGAGAATAAGATAAGGAAGCAGAATAGCTGAGTGGTAAGGCGCGGGACTCTGAATATTATAAGCTATAGACTATGTCTCGCTGCATTGCGAGTTCGAATCTCAGTTCTGGCATGTTAGTTTTTTGCTTTTTCTTAGTGACTGAAGAACATCTATTCGATTGTATATCATCATGTATTATCGTTTCTAAACAATGCTGAATATTAAAATAATTTGAAACTGTTAACCTTCAATCAAGGTTAGTTTTTTGCTTTTTCTTTCTAACACGTTTTATCACAACAAGAAATACATTTGTTGAGTAAGAAGATAAAAAATTATTTCTTGCACAAGAAATGGCAAGATCTTGCTATTTCTTGTGCCCAAGAACTTTCGCTAGGGTAGGCAACTCTTTCTCAAGGTTTAATCAACGATCGTTTTCCGTTACTAGGCTGCTGTCACGCAAGTGTAAAGAAAAAGTACGTCCAAGCTTTATCACTTCTTTCTAAAACAACGTGGGACAAGATGCTTGTCTTTACAAGCAAGGTGAAAGATCCTTGACTAGTGACGCTCTTTCGTTTGTTTTACTCCTTTGAGGACTGATTGTGCTTATTAAGCAGCATACAAAGTACATCTCCATCCCGTACTCATCTTGGCTATTTTCAGGGCATGAAAATTGTACTCATGCTCATTCGATGTTACAGAAGAAACAAGGTTATGTCTCTAACGAACAATCTTTTTTGATAAAAACTGAAACATTTAC